AATGGGGGGAGTGGGCAACCAAGCATACCATTCTCTATCAATTCCACAGTTTCTTTACAAATCAAAAATTCAATTAATGATTATTTTTAAAAATGGAACAAATTAAATGTCCACTCTCCCAAAGATGAACAACAATGAAATAATTTCCAACCTTATTTAACTGTCAATGATTAATTTTTCAAAGTCTGCTCACTTCCTAAGCCTTTTTCAAAATCTGAAGCAGGAACAGAGATGAGTAGGAATGGGTAGGAATTTTGTGTTTTTGATTTTGACAGCTGATAACATTCTGCAAAGTACTTCATAGACAGGATAGAACAATCTTAAGATTGTATAAAATTGGAATGAAGGAGAAAATGAAATTTGTCCATTCATACCCAAGGCTTGTTTTGTCTAACACTTTAAAAGCTATATGGAAGGAGATCTTATGGGCCTTTGCAGACTGCCAGCAATAGTGCAAATTGAGTCCACTTTAAGGGTTAGGGTTAGTGCTAGGAAATCATGGGAATTGTTGTTTTTTTCTGAGACATTGAGCCTTCTCTGTCAGAGAGCTCTGGTGTCACAATAAAATACAGTCCCCATGATTCCCTGACCCTAACCCTAACCCTTAAAGTGGACTCAATTTGCACTATTTCTAGCAATCTGCAAGAAAGAGGTTGGTAGCATGAGCTTTCATAGACTTGAGCCTACTTCCTCAGATGCATTTGGTGGAGTGGAAAGTCCAGGGACAGACCTAAATAAATCATTTGTGTGTGAGAAAGTCAATTCAAATTCACAATCCTGTGGGTATGGAAATGAGATGGCAAAAACCTGGTTAGGAATGCCTGTGATTTCAGACTATGTTTTTGTTGAAATAAAGCTACTGGTATGTTATCTTTTTTGAGAGGAACTCCACATCTTTCACACCTATACAGCATGAAGATGCGCTCGGTCCTTTTGGTGTGAAAATAACCTATTTAATTTGGCTGGTGACAAATGTGGGAGCATTTTCTTTCAGCTCAGTTTTGACTGAATTTACCAACTTTCCAAATTTCTTTAGGAGTAAAAAAAAAAAAAACCTTGATGTACAAGAGGAGGGAAAACCCTAACCATGAGTAAAAGTGAAACTAACTGATTTCCTCATCCCTAGAGATGAAGGAGGAACAGAGGTCCGGTGTGGGAGTTTGGGCATGCATACTATCAATAGGAGAAGATGCATTTTGAGTCGCTGAACTACTAGGACCTCAAGTAGAGAAAGCCCCAACGTTCTTTGGAAGTTCTTTGGAAAATACTTCTTTGGATCACATCTACAAGAATCCCACAGTGGGAAAAAAAATCTCTTCCAAGTTATGGAAAAAACCATCCTTTGATGGATCTCCTGGGATGTGACGTCCTACAAAGTTAGTTTGTGCTTAATTGTGTACTATTATAAAAAAACACTCAGGCCTTTGATCCTGTCTCACTTTTCCCACCCAGCAGAGGGCAGGGCAATGATGTTTGTATACACAATAGTTTGGGGAAAGAAGGTTTAAATGAGGGGAACCAAATATGGGAAAAAATATTCAGAATGTTAAAATTCAGTCTATTTCCTATTCTTCATTCTTTATGACACAGTTTTGCTTTAATCCTTCTGTAGTGTTTTGTGCTTGGAGAATTGTGGGAAGATAAATTAAGGCTGGGGTGGAAGCAGGGTTGAGCTGAAGATGAATGATATTTAAAACACAGATAAAAGATTAAAGGCCTTTGCAGACTGCCAGAAATAGTGCACATTAAATTGAGGCACTGCCCTGGCTCAGTGCTAGGGAGTCATGGGAATTGTATTTTTTTTCTGGGACATTGAGCCTTCTCTGTCAGAGAGCTCTGGTGCCACAATAAATTACAGTTCCCATGATTCCCTAGCACTGAGCCAGGGCAGTGCCTCAATTTAATGTGCACTATTTCTGGCAGTCTGCAAAGGCCCTATGTCATCTTTAAACAAGAAAAAGAAAAGATACATTTGTGAAGAAAGCCTACTGTGTTATCTGAAGAAAAAGGACTGTTGTTAAGACTTTGAAATAATATGGAAACAGTTGGCACTTGCAACACAATATTGCAGTGCTTCTTCCTTTGTGACACTCATAGCCCCCTCTGGGTTATTCCATTCAATAGGCACATGCTCAGGGGTAGGCAACCTTTCTCCTTTAAGGGCCGAGGGACTTCAGCTCGCTAGGTCCTCACTCAGCTGTTTTGTTTCATATACTGTTGCTGTTGTGTGCCTGAAAGTCATTCTGACACATGGTTGTCCTAAGGTGAACCTACCATGGGGTTTTCTTGACAAGTTTGTTCAGAGGAGGTTTGTCTTTGCCTTCTTCTGAAGCCGAGAGTGTGTGACCTGCCCAAGGTCACCCAGGGGGTTTCCATGGCTGAGTGGTGATTTGAACTCTGATGTACAGAGCCGTAGCCCAAAACTCTAACCACTACACTAGGCTGGCTCTCTTGCCCCTCTTTGTTTCTTAAAAACAATCATTTTAGACATTACTTTTGCAAACGTCAGGGTTCCCCTAGCCACACTGAAGCCTGCATCTAGTTTTTCTTGGCTCCATTTCTGTTGCCCCTCTTCACTGAATTCACTATTAGAAGAAGTAATATAGTACTATGGTTCATAATGTATAACTTTTTAGAACAAGGGAGGGAATTATGTTAGCCTGTTGCAGCAAAAAGGAAGAATCTTCTGGTATCCTAAAGAGACTGATAAATCTTATTTGGCATAAGCTTTTACAGGCTCCAGTCTATGAAAACCTTTGACAATGCGAGATGGAGTCCACAAAACTTCATGTCGAATGAAATGTGTTAGTCTTTAATTTATCACAAGATGTTGAGTTGGTTTTTCATAATGGATACATAACACGCCCAAAGGGGGAACGTCCTGTTTCAGTATATGGATTTCCTGGCCTTGCCTCCACTACCATTTTGGGGATACAGACTAAATACCTGGGCATCCCTTATGTCCTGCTAACCCTCTGCTGGCTTCAAAGCAATACAGGTAGTATATAGAAATATGAAAAATCCTGTCAAATGCTCCCCTTGCCTGCAACCTTAGAATAGCTACGTTAGCTTGTTGCAGCAAAAGTGTCAGAGCATCTTGGGTAATATTAGAGAATAACACATTTATTAGGGCATAAGCTTTTGTAGACTGCAGTCCATCTTATGCAGGTAGTACTGTCTAGAATAAGAGATGTAAATACACACAGTTGTGCGGGAGGCCTATAAACAATGAGGCCAGAGGAAAATGAAATGCAGAAAGTACATCATGCTATTAACCTCAGCCATTCACAAAATAGTTATTGCTGATAACACAAACCTCCAGGCATCAACATTTTATGCTCCCACTAAAACAGTTATTCTTGAGCAAAGAAACTTCAAAGGAAGAACAGAAGGAGAGACTGCTGAGTTGCAATCCATCAAGAGATTCCATTCTATCTGCTGCAACTTGGATTGGGATAAAGTTATTTAAACACACACATCAAAGATTACACTAATTGGGTTATCCAATGCCAGAGCATTTCTGTTTCCCAGAATTAAATAATTTAACAGCAACGCACGTTTTCTCTGGTCAGGGAGGACAGAAGCAAGAATGAGAGAGCTCTGTAAAATGTATTATTTATTAAAGTTCTTTTTAAGGATAAAAAAATTTGACTAGAATTAGGACAATAAGAAGAAAGTAGTCCATGCAATAATAAATAAATAAATAAATATCCATTTATAGCCCCGGTGCTCACTTTCAACCATTATTTATAGTATGTGGTTTTAAACCTTGCAGGCTATCACAAAATAAAATGTTGGTAAAACCAAATAGTTCAGCCTCAGAATTACTTTATACTATTAAGTAAGATGTATGACTCATTTTGTGCAGTGCTGTGCCTAAAAAAAGCTTTTCTTAGCCCTGACATCCTTTAGCTTAGAGATGCTAGGGATGGAATCTCAGATGTCAGATGAATATAATGCTTACATGTAAACTATAGCTCTTTCCATTTAAACTTTGTTTTAAAAGAACTGGGATTTGTATGTAAGGTCAGTAGTTTCATTAGGATTGGTATCACCCAGTACGGTAACTCATGGTGTCACTTCCCCATTGACCTCCTCCTATACCACACCATACAGAATCCTTAGTAATGTTTTTGTACTAATGTTACTCATAAATCATAATTCCCATATATCACTGAATGTAATGGCAATAATTGTGACATAAACAACTTGTTGGTGTTGTGTGCCTTCAAGTTGTTTCCCACTTATGGTGGCCCTAAGGCGAAGCTATCATGGGGTTTTCTTGCCAAGATTTGTTCAAAAGAGGTTTGCCATTGCCATCCCAGTGGGTTTCATGGTTGAGATGAGAACTGAACCCTGATCTCCAGAGCTGTGGTCCAGCACTCAAACCACTATGCTATTCTGGCTCTCACATAAACAGTTAGCAATTTTTTTTTTAAATTATACCTTGAAATTACAATATGATACTCACACTCTAAATGCATTTACATGTACATACATTCATGTGGTTAACATGAAAATATGGTAAGATGTGATGTTTTTAAAAGAATTTTTTAAAGAAAATTAAACAATAATTTAAAAATGTTTAATTTTGTAAAATTTAAATTTTTAAATTCATTTTTTTTAATCCTAGGATCTCTCCTTTCTCCTCCCACTGAGACTTGCCATCACTTCAATGTTTTAAAGGGACCCAGGTGAATGCCACAGACCATTTCTGTCCAAAAGCAGAACGTCTAATGAAGCAAATGAAGTATCCTCTTGTATTTGTCTTACTAAAGGTATACATCCACAAGTAATCATTTGTTGTATTTTGTGTGTGTGCATGTGTAGCACCTATAAAGTTTTACAGCAAAACATTTGTTGTTGTCATTGAAGTCGTTTCCAGCTTACGGCAATTCCAAGGTGAACTTATCATGGGGTTTTCTTCAGAGGGGGTTTGCCATTGCCATCCTTTGAGGCTGAGAGAATATGACTTGCCCAGGGTCACCCAGTGGGCTTCATGGCCAAGCTAAGATTTGAACCCTGGTCTCCAGAGTCAAAGTCTGATGCTCAAACCACTACACCACACTGGGTCTCATACTAGACTCTCATACTAAGCAAAACTAGTATGTACAAATGCTAACACTGCAAGACTTGGCAGCCTTGTTTATACCAGTCTGAAGTCAGCATATACAATTCTCATTTTGATGTGGTCCCATTTTGTACACACACTGCTTTCACACACATCTAAAGAGGGTCGGAAAATGACGTCTGCTGAAAAACAGCCTAGTGAAGATTTTATGCATGACAGTGTAATAATTTCTTTAAGGTACAGATTGATTTGCTCACTTTCAAAGAGAATTACAAGTCCTTTGATAATAAGAATAAAAGGTCACCTAGCTGTAAATTCTGATTCATTCCTGTTCTAGCCAGGAACACTCCAACATTTGTACCAATGGTTTCAACACAGCCATTACCAGTACTTGGACTGTGGGAGAATGGAAAAAGAACTGTGTGTTTCTTTTACTGCCTTTTCAGAAAAAGAAAAGCAGCAACAGTAAATGTCATAAGATCATCATCATCATCATCATCATCATCATCATCATCATCATCATCATCATCATCTTATCCTACCTTTTCACCCATTCAGGACTCAAGGCAGCTTTGTTTTTGTTCTGTGCTTTCAAAGTTGTTTCTGGAGGCAACCCTATCTTGGGATTTTGTTCTGTGCTTTCAAAGTTGTTTCTGAAGGCAACCCTATTTTGGGATTTTCCTGACAGCCTTTGTTGAGAAGGTACTTGCCTTTGCCTTTCTCTGAGAGAGTGTGACTTGCCCTAGGTCATCCAGTGGCTTTCCATGCCTGAGTGGGATTTGAACTCTGTTCTCTAGAGTACAACACTCAAACCACTATGCCATGCTTTCTCTAAGGTGGTTCATAAAAGTTAAAACAAATGCAGCATATTTTCTTCTGTTTGCTCATTTTTTCAGTTGCTGTAAAGCTGTCCCAGTTTTTCCTCTTCTCTTCACACTTTTCCTCTTTGTCCTCAGCTTACTTCCATTGCTGCAAATGGAATTCAAAGGGCAAAAGTAGTTTGCACCTAACTGGTGTGTTTGTGCCTTCAGATCATTTGTCAACAATGAGGACTCTATGAATTTCACAGAGTTTTCTTAGATAAGGAATACTCAGAGGTGGGTTTGGCAGTTCCTTCCTCTGAAATATAGCCAACAGATCCTTGTATTCCTTGGTGTTCTCCTGTCCAAGTACTAACCAGTTCTGACCCTTCTTAGTTTCCAAGATCAGACAAGATCTGGTGCCTTTGGGATATTTAGGCCTATTAGCTCAGGCAAAAATAGTCTCTCCTAGCTTTTCAGTTATTCCTCATTGATAGTTTTATTAATAATTTTTGCCCTCTCGACCACACTCTGATCTTGCTTGGCCAAATGTGCCCCGGTTTTCATCTGTGAAATGTTGAATGGTGTGATGCAGTTAAAAAAATCCAAACACATCATAAAAACATAAAATATAATTAAACTACCAACAGAATTAAAAGCAATCAAAAGCATGACCATTACAATAAAAATAATACAGTACCTTATGAAGAGCCCCTTCCCCCTATGCAATAAGTCCTCAAAGGCATGCTTAAGGGGGAAAAAAATCTTGATTTGCCTCTGGAAGGACTGCAGGAAAGGTGCCAGTCTAATCTCTCTAGGGCTGCATATGCACTGCAGAAATAATGCAGTTTGACACTGCTTTAACTGCCATGGCTCAATGCTATGGAGTCTTGGGATTTGTAGTTTGTTGTGGCACTGTAGCTCTCTCACAGAGAGTGCTAAATATCTCACAAAATTCCAGATCCCAGAATTCCATAGCATTGAGCCATGGCAGTTAAAGTGGTGTCAAACTGCATTATTTCTGCAGTGCAGATGAAGCCTAGGAAAGGCACTTCACAGCCTGGAACTTGCCAGGCTCTCATGTGTTCCCATCATATATATGAGTGTGATGAGACAGAGAGAACTTCCTCAGAAGATCTCAGAAAGACAGGTTCTTATGGGACAGTACAGTCCATCAGATAACCAGGACATGAGCCATTTATATGTCATAACCAGCACTTTGAACTGTGCACATATACAGATGAGTATCCAGTGGACCAGTCTTCAGCAACAAGGGACTTGTGTACTTCCTATAACCAGCCCTGGCTTCACAACCTGGCTGCAATTTATTTATTACACGTGTACTTATGTGTATTCTATTAAATTAATCATAGCAAAAAATCACATGAAAGTAACCCAATTCTGTTCTTTAAAAAAAAAGATGAATTCTGCAATGTATATAAACTTTGCATAAATTGGCTTATTATTTTTCCTGGTAGTCATAAGGAGGAAAGCAAACAGTTTTCTGTTCTCTCAAGAAAAATAATAAGCTACATACTATACAGGAGAGGCAGCATAGTGAAGTGGATTGCACATTGGACTATGACTCTGGAGACCAGGGTTTGAATCTTGGCTTGGTTATGAAACCCACTCTCAGCCTCAAGAAAGGCAATCTCCTCTGAATAAATCTTGCCAAGGAAATAGGCTTGATAGGTTTGCCTTAGGGTCATCATACGTCGGGAGCAATGTGAACGGACACAACAACAACAGCAACAACAAACTATACAGGGAGCTAGAGCTCTCTGTCTTGAATTGGTTGAATGCTTCCTCAGTTTCAAAGACATTGACCACACACTTTCTTATATAATAGCAAATTATATACTTTTTCTATATAATAGGACTACACAATATGGATGAAAATCTGGCTTTAAAGAGAGAGAAAGGGAAAACTGGAGATGCTTAGAATATTGAACTATGTACTGAATTCTGGTGTGCTTCATGTGTGTTGTAAATTTTGGTCTCTTTAATAAAGTCCATCCATCTAGCATGTGGCCTTCCTCTCTTTCTACTTCCCTCCACCTTTCCTAACATTATTGTCTTTTCCAATGATTCATGCCTTCTCATGATGTGTCCAAAGTATGTCTTCTCATCTTGGCTTCTAGGGATATCTCTGGCTTGTTCTGCTCTAGGACCCATTTGTTGGTCCTTTTGGCTGTCCATGGGATCCTCAGCACTCTTCTCCACCAGTGCATCTCTAATGAATTGATTTTCTTCCTATCTTCTTTCTTGACTGTCCAGCTCTCACATCGATGCATGGTATTAGGGAATACGATGGCTTGTATGATTCTGACTTTTGTGCTGTATGTCTTTGAGTTCTTTCATAGCTGCCCTCCCCATTCTTAATCTTCTTATTTCTTGGCTGCAGTCCTGTTCCGATCAATGTTTGATCCCAGATATGAGAACTCTTTTACTATTTCTATTTCCTCATTGTCTAGTTTGAATGTGTCTAAGTTCTCTGTGGTCATTATTTTTGTTTTCTTTATGTTCAGCAGTAAGCCTGCCTTTGCACTTTCTTCTTTGATCTTCCTTAGTAATTGTTCCAGGTCTGTAAGGTTCTCTGTTAGTATTATGGTGTTGTCAGCATATCTCAGATTGTTGGCATTGCTTCCTCCTATT